CCTACAAGGGCTCAAGCTGGCTAAACAGCTGGGTTTTCAGCAGTTGGAAGTGGAGGGAGACTTGAAACTGGTAATAGGTTGGATGCAAACAAACAGCTTAGGCACCTGGTCCCTTAGACAGCCTATAAGGGAGATTATGCAACTAACAACGGAGCTTGAAGTCAGGTTTAAATGGAGTAGGAGATCAGCCAATGCAATGGCTGATACTTTAGCAAAGCAAGGAGTTAGTAGGCATAACCTTTTTTGGGCCTGTTTGTAATCTGTGGAGGGGTCACCTTGTTTTTTGAAGGTGACAGTTGTGCTAAGTTTCTTAAAGAATTAATGAAAGTTACTGTTTCCAATAAAATATATATATATATATATATATATATATATATATGTGTGTGTGTGTGTGTGTGTGTGTGTGTGTGTGTGTGTGTGTGTGTGTGTGTGAAAATTATAGACACGGTGGAAACATTGTGAAATATGCAAAAATATTGCATGATATTCTATGAAATGATAAAAGAAGCATAGGTAAATTGTCAAAAAAAAAAGAAGCATAGGTACATCCTTTTAAATCATTATCTTATTCTAAACAATTAAAGAGAAGAAACTGAGGTTAATAGACGAAATAATATTCTCCAAAATTGTCCTGTAAACTCAAAGGGTCAAAACTACATAATAGAATGGGTTCAAGTAAAATTTAAACTCATAGAAAGTGCTGGTGATTCTAATAGAAGGGGAATGAAGTCTAATCCACTAGTTCCGCCTCCATTTAATGAATACTGTCCATTTTTTCTGAAAATAATGAATAATGACATTAGGAACTGAGTATGTCCAAAATTTTATGAATGCTCCTCGGGTGATTGCTTATCACCTTTCCTTGTATCTTCTTTTTGTTTAATAAAAATTTTTTATTTGTCTTCAAAAAGAAAATTATAAAGGAGGGTGAGAATCCCTAAACTGTGTACAAAAAGATGTGTGTGTAAATATGCACAGGACATGTACATTCAGCTCCTATACACTAAACTCAAAATATAATAGAAGACCACTGATCATTAAGGTGGCGAGCTGATATTCCTTCAGAAATCCTTGAAATACCAGCCCAACTTTTCAATATCCATTACATCTTGCTTATAACTGCTTACAGAGGAGTAGATTTACCCTCAAAGATTCTACAGTTCTGCTCCTTCAACACTGTCCAGCAAATGGCAAAAGGATGATAGTCCCACTGAAATTTCACTTTCTGATGAGATCAGACCCAATCTCCAAGAGAAAAGCAGCTCAGCTAAAGAATAGGGGAGAGCCCAATAGATCTGAAAAAACCTAAAGAAGTTAAACCAAATTTGGTAGGTGAATGGACAGTGTAGTAGCAAATGATGAGCAATCAGAGAGCAAAAAGAACCCAAACCAAGAAACAAGAATTACAGAGGTAAAGCATTAGCACTATACAAAGGCAACACAGAGCAACCAACCACAAACCCCGCTTCACTAGAACCTTCACAACCTGAATTATGTCTCTTCCCTCAAGCCACAAAAATTTAATCTTGGAAGGCACCTTAGATTTTCAAATCCAAGACCATGCTATTTTATCAAAGGGTCCCAACAAAGCGTGATAGCAAAATTTGGTTGAGAGCTTGCCATTCTTCTCACCCCCAGTTGGGTGCTGGATGAAATTGAACTTTTGATGGCATTAGTGTTGGCAATCTGGGCCCATCAAGAATTAGTAGGGTGATAAGGGATGAAGGTGGCAATTTATGTGCTTTGTTTTCTGGCCCAATTGAGCAAGGCAATTAAGTGGGGTGGTTGAAAAAAGGTGGGGGTGATTTGGCAACTCAGAAATGAGTTTAGGCACTTCAAGTGGTTATCAAGAGATATTGACATTCAAACAAGATGGGTAAGAAGATCTGCTAAATAGCTTGGCAGATGGTTTAGCCAAGCAAGAGGGTCAAAGACAACAAATGTATTGGGCACAATTGTGATATTGTGTTGGGTAGGTTTGCTTTGTAAAGGGTTTTTCAGATTTCCACAACTTCTTGTTGTAATCTTTCTTTTCAAAGATTTAACGCAAGTTTAAATTTCTGCATTGCTGATCAGAAAAACTTGCCATTCTTCTCCCTAACCCACAACCGAGCATCCCTTGATAGAGGATTCACCTTCACCACATACAAGCTTCACCAGTGTATTAAAAGTGCAAGGCGCAAAAAAGGCACAGGGGTCAATTTGCGTTTGAGGTGCAAGGCGCAAGGCAAGGCACGCACCTTTTTGAAGCAAGGTGCAAAAATACAAAAAAAAATGCTAAAAATTAAAAAAAGTCAGAAAATTCAAAAAAATAAAAAAAATATTAAACATAATATTAATAAAAATATAAACTTAAATTTTAAAATAATGTTTTAAAAAACCTATTATCTAAAATCAAAATATATAAACATAAGATGTAAAGCATATTCAAATGAGAATTTAAAAATAAAATCAAACATTTTCAAGCATGTAAAACCTCTATTCTCTTTGTCATTCAATTGCATTACTTCAAGTAGCTAATGTAACGTAAAACAT